GTTGCCTGCTGGGCCCGGAATATGACCAAAGGGGCGAGGAGGACTAGTACAGAGGGTGGTTCACACGGGTTTGGTGAAGCCTGATGAACCGTTTTCACTCTGACCGGAGAGGCCCTCTGTGGGGACCTGGACGGGCATGTCCCTCAGACAGCGACTCTGACTTACTGGACAGCATGGCCAAAGTGGGCTTCTCTGAACTTTGACTTTTCTCTGGACACCTCATACCTGGGTGGCTGTGTTCTTTCTTTGGGTGGCTCAGTATCGCTGATGACCAGGCTAGACAGCTGTGTCCTGAGTCAGGGAGACTTTTTGATTCATTTACCTCTCATGGGGCAACCTTATTACTGGCATTTCTAAGAAAAGCCTTAGAGAGAGGCAGGCACCCACCCAAGTTCACACAACCAGTCAGGACTGGGGCAACCCTGGATTCCCAGACCATTTTCTTTAAATAAATTTTTTTTAATGTTTTTTATTTATTTTTGAGACAGGGAGAGACAGAGCATGAACAGGGGAGGGTCAGAGAGAGGGAGACACAGAATCTGAAACAGGCTCCAGGCTCTGAGCTGTCAGCACAGAGCCCGACGCGGGGCTCGAATTCACAGACCTCGAGATCATGACCTGAACCGAAGTCGGCCGCTCAACCGACTGAGCCACCCAGGCGCCCCTCCCAGACCACTTTCAATTAAATAGTTTATCACTTTCAAATATGAAAAAATGAATTCTCTCAGTGCAAAAAAAAAAATTAGAAAATACCGTAAGCAAAAGCAAAATACCTTTAGTTTGTTTCTCTGAGAAACTTCCATTACCCATTCCCATCCCTTCTCTCTCCCTGGGGGCTCAGCCACACTCCCCCAGCCCCAGCCATAATCAATACCTCATCTCCTTTTGCCAACAGCTGTTCCCTGAGGAATAAGCCTTGACAGCAGATCCTGGAAGACAGCCTCAGACCGGAGGCTGGGAAGGCCTGGCGTCTCTTCTGGAACAGCACAGCTTCCGCCCAAGTGGAACTGTTTAAATGCAGGATATAGCGGGGAATACTCCCGGCTAGAAGCCCAGAGCCTGCAACCAGCCCTGCCCGGTCTGTGGATCAACTGAGCGACCTTGGGCCGGTCCCTGCCCTCTCAGTTTCTCCCACTGTAAAATGAAGACTTGAACTTGACCGAGTGTTTCCCCCACGGCCTTTATCAGTCGGTCAGCTTGTTGTGGGCAAAGACCGTGCCCTCTCCTTATAAGTGGACCATAGAATTTAGAGTCAGAGGACAGGGCTCCAGCTCCCCGTCACTCCCTAGCTGTGTGACCGTGCATGGGGCACCACACCACTCTGTGCTCTGCTCCCCCATTGAAAAACACAGGTCAGAGCGCTTGTCCTCTGTGTGTCCCACGGCTGTCATAGATCCCGCGAGAGGTGGACCTTACAGACCTGTGAGCAACACAGGGCGAGATGCTCTGCTGGGGTGTTACTCCAGGGTACCCCCTGCTTGCCCAGTGCCTGGCTCCATCCTGGCTCAGGGGGTCTGGCCCAGGCTTGTAGATGGAGTCTGTGCCTGCCCGCGGGCACACGGAGCTCTGGCAAGAGGAGTGTGTGGACCCTGGGCCCGGCCCACCGTATGAAGTGTCAGTAACGTTGCCCAGAGGGCCTCGGGGCCCATGACATCATGGACAGCAGTTTCCATGTTGGAGCTCACAGAGCTAAGGCCATTTTAAAAAAATAGCACTGCCTTTTTTCCTTTCTTTCTTTTTCCACTTTGGCTATGACATGGAATGTGAGAGCAGCTAAACTATTGCGGGAAGAAGAGGCTGGGTTCATAGACTGACTCTGCTTTCTGGGGTCCTAAAAACAATGCCAAACCTGGGAGGTCCGGCCCCTGCTTCCTCATGCCCGCCTTGACCCCACTCCAGGCTGCCCTGACGGGACCAGGGGGGTGGACAGTCATGGTCTGCCTCTGGTTCCCAGGTAACCTTTCTGGACCTCAGCTTGCCATTTGTTATGGACTGGATGTTCATGCTCACACCTGCCGCCCCAGATTCCGATGTTGGGTTCCTATTCCCCAGTGCCGCCCCCTACAGTTTGATGGTATTTGAGGTAGGGCCTTTGGTAGATAATTAGATGAGGGCATGAAGGTGGGGTTCCCATGACGAGATTAGCGTCTTTATAAGAGGCAGAGACATCAGAGCTCACTTTCTCTGTCTCTCTCCCTGCGTGTGCACCGATAGGTTGTGTGAGGACACAGTGAGATGGTGGCCATCTGCAAGCTGGGAGGTGAGCCCTCAGCAAGAACCAATCTGTCAGCACCTTGATCTGGGACTTCCCAGCATCCAGAACTGTGAGGCGTAGATGTCTGCTGTTTAGGCCATCCAGTCTACGGTATTTTGTTCCAGCAGCCTGAGTGGACTGAGGCGCATCTATGAAACAAGGAAAATAATCCCTCCCCTAACTATCGCTGATGAGAATAATGCAATAATAGCTAACCGTTTATTTTGTCACGCGTTCATTCGGTCACTATTTCCGAAACACCTATGAAACGGGCACCGTTGAGAAGCTGGGGTGCAGCAGCGAGCAAAGCAGACAGAAACCCCTGCTCTCATGGAGCTGAATTCCAGTCTGCGAAGACAGACAGTAACCAGAGAAAGAAGTGGGGGATACAGTATGGCCGATGGATGGCGGTGAGCGCTGAGGAGGAAAAGCCGGCCTGGAGGGAGGATCAGAGTGCCAGGAGGGAGGGGCAGGGTGCACTCTGATATAGGGTGGTCTGGACAGGTGGCCCTGAGAAGGGGATGGGAGGAGGAGAAGGAGATGGGCCGTGTGCTCACTTCCCCGGCTATGGAAAGACACCAACTCTTGTGGGAAGCAGCGTACAAGTGTGAAATGATCTCTAGGTATGTCTCCTGTGCCCCCAGAGCCCTCAGCTCCATTCTGGGCGCAGGCAGGGCTCTGAAGCGTTAAAGGCATAGCTATCGATGGTACAGTCTCATTCTCCCTGTTAGATGCAATGTAATAGGCCTTTGCTAAACAGCTCTTCTGTGTCAGACACCGGAGGATGGGGGTGCCAGAGAGAACCCAGACATGCTGCCTAACGAAGCAGACTGAGTGTCAGGAGGCTTGGGCTCCAGGCCTGGCCCTGCTGCTGGCTGACGATAGGACCTTAGATAGGGGACCACCCTCTCTGGGCCTCAGATGGGGATGGCGGTTTCTTTTTGGGGTGATGAAAATGTTCTAAAATTAGATAGTGGTCCCGGTTGCACAACTTTGTGAGCATACTATAATCCACTGAATTGCACATTTAAATTTTTATTTATTTAGTTAGTTAGTGAGTTAGTTTTGAGCATGAGCGGGGGGAGGGGCAGAAAGAGAGGCAGACAGAGGATCCGGAGCAGGCTCTGCGCTGACAGCAGAGCCCGATGTGGAGCTCAAACCCACGAACCATGAGATCATGACCTGAGCCAAAGTCAGCCACGTAAACAACCGAGCCACCCAGGCGCCCCCAATCCACTGAACTGCACATTTAAAAAAACAACAGCAAAGGTGGGGTGCCTGGGTGGCTTAGTCCGTTGAGCATCCAACGCTTGCTTTTGGCCCAGGCCATGATCCCAAAGTTGTGGGATTGAGCCCCGCATCGAGCCCTGTGTCAGGCTCCACACTGAGCACGGAGGCTGCTTAAGATTCTCTCTCCCCCTCTGCCACCATCCCCTGCCTCTATAAATAAATAAATAAATAAATAAATAAATAAATAAAAATACTTAAGAATAAATTAAAAAGAAAACAAAAAACAACAAAAGAAAGATGGTTGGTTGGACAAGATGATTTCTAAAAGAAGGAACGCCAGTATTTTTGGGGCCTACAATACCCCAGGGCCAGGACTCAGCCCGTTATCTCACAGTATCTAGAGTTCCCTCTGGTTCCGACTTCTCGTGATCCATCACGATGGTATTCACACTGCGATCGCTCATCAGTAAGTCCAACTTGGGCCCCTCCTTCGGGCCTAAAGCTAGTCTAGAGTCCGGGGAAGGGGAGGGCCGGGGGTGCTGTCTCTTCCCCACAGAGCTCAGAGCCTGTGGAAGAAATCAGAAGTGCACCTTGTACCCAAGAGGTTGTTTTTTTTTTAGGACTAGCTCCTTCCTTTCCCTTCCATGTATAGGGAAGAACCCCAAATTACACGATGGCACACAACCAGGTGGCCGTACTGGGGGCCCTGGGAGTTGATTTATTCACCGTTACACTGGGGCCTTTGGCTAGAGCGTCCAGGATACAACAGTGGGTGAGTCAGACCCAGCCCTGCCCTTAGGAAGGGAGACAGACTTTTAAGCAACCAAATACATAATTAAGAATTTCTTTCATGCCTGTGATTGTCATCGGTGCTGTGGAGGAAAATACACGATATATTGAAGGCACCGGTGTGGCTTGAGCTGAGTTCTGAAGGCGAGTAGAAACAATGAAGGGGTGTGGAGAGGTGGTGATGGCATAGGGCGGGCTGTTCCAGGCAATGCCAAGGCCCTACGTGTCTGCAGAGGAAGGCCAGTGTGCACGAAGAGGGTGGGGGGCAGGGGGGCCGGCCACAGGCACAGGCCAGGCCCAGCCACACAGGACCCTCGAGGCTGGGTACCCTATATACCTGTGTCTGTATGCTTGTTGTCCCTACTCACTCCCAGCTGTCCCGGTCCAGAGAATAAACTACAGCCACCCTACTTATGGGCCCCATTCAGGCGTTTGTGCAAAGAACAACCAGTGTTCCAGGAAGGCCCGGTCATTGCTTCCTCCCTCGCGGCCTCCAAGCCTGCGGCTCTGCACGTCCGGGAGCAAGGGCCTGCCAGCCTGAGCAGCCGCGGTGGTTATTTGAGCTGGATGATGTGTGAAGAACCCTGCTTGGCAGCCCCCTGGCCATCCGGCCACGCTGCCCTCCTCCTGGGCGGACCCTGCACCCCCACCTCCCCCCACGCCGGCCCGCCAGTTTCCCCCACTTCACTATCTTGAGGTGAGAGCTTTTCCACCAGGTCTCAGGCCAAGCATGGTTCTTGGCTCCAGGTTCGGTGAGCCGGTTTCCGGCCATCCCCGCCCTCTGCTGCTCCCCGAGGACCCGCTCCAGGCCTCGGCTGCGGCCTCGTGCTCTTTCCACTCTCGTTTTTTCTTTTTCTCTCTGTGTGACTTTCCCCGAGCCGGGCCTCTTTCTATCTTGCCTTCTTTCTTTTTTTTCTCCCTTTTCTCTAGGGTAGCGAGGGCATTAAGGGAAAAGCATGAGCTTTAGGAGAGATGGAACAGGGTTCAAATCCTAGCTCTGTCACCTGCTGGCTGTGTGATCTTGGGCAGATGTATCCTTCTCTCTGAGTCAGCTGCGGGTTCTATGAATGGGGACGATCCTCCTGTTTCTCTGGGTGGTTGTGAGCGGAGAGGAAGTTCACAGAATGCCTCCGGGGGAATAGGAGGTAGTTGACAAATGGTAGATTCCTTTTCCCTTCCTTTTGCACATTCTTCTCCCTGAGCTTCTGCGGGTTTTGCTCACTTAAGCACAAAGTAAGAAACAAAGCCTCACCCCCCCAAACCAACGCTAGACCCCAACCACCTTGCTCTCTCTCGCACAGCCCCACCACACCCAGACTGAGTGCAGCCAACAGCGTCAGGACACGTGTGGCCTGCTCGCTGCTAGCCCCGTGGCCGAGAGACCTTGCTGGATGTCCTGGCTGGGACTCTCTGCCATGGGATTCCCGACGGGGACATGGGAGGTGTCTTCTGAGCTATGCTATGACGCAGGCACCAGAGTCTTTTGGTTTTTCACCAACCTAAGGACAAGAGAGGCAGCCTTTCAACATCCCCTCACTCCTTGCACACTTCTCACTGCTCCCCCTCCCCATCACACCTTGCACTTTCTAGCTTCCAAACCATTGCTTGTGTCCCCAACCCCGCCTGGAACCCCCTTCTGCTTCCTCCCTCTCATTTTGAGCCTTATACTAGCTCTGGGACTTAGATGTGACAGAAGAGGAAACGGAGGCTCAGGGGTACCTAGATGTTGGTATTTTTTTTTTTTTAATTTTTTTTTCAACGTTTATTTATTTTTGGGACAGAGAGAGACAGAGCATGAACGGGGGAGGGGCAGAGAAAGAGGAAGACACAGAATCGGAAACAGGCTCCAGGCTCTGAGCCATCAGCCCAGAGCCCGACGCGGGGCTCGAACTCACGGACCGCGAGATCGTGACCTGGCTGAAGTCGGATGCTTAACCGACTGCGCCACCCAGGCGCCCCTAGATGTTGGTATTTTTTACAGTGAGAATGTGTTCAGGGGTGCCTGGCTGGATCAGAGTTCAAGCCCCATATCGGGCATGCAGCCTACCTAAAAAATATATAAAAACTGAAAAGAGAGAATGTGTTCGGGACAACATATTGTGCTATTTCTTTCTTTTTTTTTTTTTTTTAAATTTTTTTTTCAACATTTATTTATTTTTGGGACACAGAGAGACAGAGCATGAATGGGGGAGGGGCAGAGAGAGAGGGAGACACAGAATCGGAAACAGGCTCCAGGCTCTGAGCCATCAGCCCAGAGCCTGACGCGGGGCTCGAACTCACGGACCGCGAGATCATGACCTGGCTGAAGTCGGACGCTTAACCAACTGTGCCACCCAGGAGCCCTGTTGTGCTATTTCTTAAAAGACAAAGTGAAGTAGTTTGCCTGGGGTTATACTGGATCTGGTCCATGGGATTTCACAGTTTTCATTTGTTCTCCCCCCTCTGCCACACTCTCTGTCACACAGTTGTGACTATAAGGACCTTACTGTAACTTACTGCTTGGATGTCATTTAAAAAAAGGTAATTATGTAAATAAACCCATAGATTTATGGTCAATTAATTTATTATTTTTTTAATTATATAGAGAGAGCATGAGTTGGGGAGAGGGGCATAGGGAGAGAGAGAGAGAGAGAAAGAGAGAGAATTGGAAGAAAGCTCCACTCTCAGCATGGAGCCTGATGCAGGGCTCGATCCCACGACCCTGGGATCGTGATCCCAGCTGAAATCAAGAGTTGGGTGTTCAACCAACTGAGCCACCCAGGCGCCCCCTATGGTTAATTTTTGACAGGAGAGCCAAGACAATTCAATGG